ACTGCTCTAACCACTAGGCCAATAAATGTAAATGAAAATGAAAATGAAACTTATTAAATAAAAGGAAGTAAGAAATGATGATTCGGTGAAACTTGTAGAGAGATACTCCCTGAAACAATCAGGGAGAAAAAAAAAATGTCACTAGAAACCACAATACTTTAATTCTGGGTAAGCCAGCATTTGAGAGAAGAGCTTAAGTTTCACAAAGAGCCAATATTAGTCAAGAAAAAAATGGATAAATAAAGGACCCCCATTAATTGGTTTTACAGGCTCCATCAGACTGGATGGATGGATGGATGGATGGATGGTATTACATCATTACTTTATTAATCCCTTGCGTGAAATTCTTTTCTTGCAGTGCAACCGTTTATAGAAGAGAGAAAAATAAGATTGCAAGTACAATAGAGCAAAATAAAATATAGGATAATAAGAATGAAATAAGTAAAATAACAACCCACACAGTGAAATTACACCCTTCCCATATAAACAGTGTAAAATAAGATATAAGAATAAAACAAGAAAATAAGAATAAAATAAGATAATCATCACAGTGTTTACAATTTACAAGGCTGCACATTGTTACGACATTGTTATTGCGCATTGAGAAGTAATGGAATAAATAAACAATAAGTAATGAAATTAAATAAAAGTCAGATTAGTTTTGCAGTTTGATGGCCACAGATAGGAATGACTTCCTGTGTGAAGGAATGATTCTCTGACTGAAGGTGTTTCTGTAGGTGATGAGCTCATCATGAAGAGGATGTGCAGAATTGTCCAGCATAGATTTGATTCTGGCCATCGTTCTGCAGTCAGAGAGTCCAGCTCCTCTCCAACAACATCACTAACCTTAAGGCTGAGTTTGTTAAATCTGTTGGCATCCTTCACCTTCAGGCTGCTCCAGCATACTCATAAAACAACCAAATTGTCTGGCAGATGTTAAAGGACCTCGGCCGCCTCAGGAGACGGCTCTGGCCCTTCCTCTAGAAGGCATTCGTGTTTTTAGTGCAGTCCAGTTTATTTTCCAAGTGCCCTCCTAAATATTTAGAATCCTTCCATGTTGACCTCACAGATAAAAAACATGAGTCACTGTGTTCTTACTCCTCAGATCCACCACCAGTTCCTTGAATTTTACCACGCTGAGCAGCAGATGGTTCAGCTCACATCAGATGATAAAATTGTCCACCACACCCCTGTACTCCATCTCCTCACTATTGTCGACACAGCCGCTACTGCTGAGTCATCAGAAAACTTCTAAAGGTGGCAGATCTCTGCACAGAAGCTGAGGTCCGTGGTGCACAGGATGAAGACAAAGGGAGAGAGGACAGTCCTGTTCATGAGGTATTGATGTTTCTCTTTGAACGCATCACTATCCAATAATAGTTGAGACCTCACTTTTTTCTCCACTTCAATCCTCACCCATTAGTACACAAGCAATGATCAGCAGACGTTTTTTTGTCTAAGTGTGTGGACTTTCAAATCTTCTTTTCCGAGGGGTTTATGCGTCCATGACACCAAACCATAAACCATAATCAGAAGCTCAAACAACAATTCAAATCAAAATAAGCACAACTTTAATAAAGAGTGGCATGAGTGCAATTGACCTCAGTCATTATTGTTCTGGACGGACAACCTGGGGAGATTGAGGATTAAATCAGCTGCCTACAGTCTTCGAGAGGTTACATGTTTGGATTATACCCCAACACCTGCTTCACAAGTTTCCTGCAGGATCCCAGTGATGCTGAACATCTTTTCTGACTTGCAGTGCTGCTGTGTGCACGTATTGTGGTCTGTCAGTCAGGTAATACACAATCCAGGACACAATGGGGGCATCCATCTGCATCGCTTTCTGTTTCTCACCCAGCAGATATAGTGCCAGATAGAATCTAGTCAATAAATGAAGCTATGGACTCACATGTTTGCAATAGCTGATAACTATTCCACTATATATCTGGAAGAATTTTGTCCCATATTCCTTAAAATTACTTTAGTTAAGAAAAAATAAAGGTTTCTTATTGAGGACATTTTTGCTCTTTATTACTCTAAATGATTTTTGTAGTTTAATTTCAATACAAATCATATATTTCTGTATTAAATGCGGTTTATCTGATATTACCCGATGTTTAGATTTTTTTATGCAAGATAAAGGCCTAACCAAAAGGGAGGTTTATTTAAGATCATTTTTGGTTACATTGTGGGTTGGGTTTAACAGATAAAGATCAGGAATGTTTTTTGAAAATTCCCCATGAGTGAACAACTATATCAGTGTAGCCAGGAAAGGTGGAGCAGAAGGAGAAAGATTTAAAAAAAAAAAAAAACTAAAAGCAAGACCTTGTTTCATTTGGATGAAATGGTTGTTAGTTTCTGGTAAACCTGCAGGAAATGTGACGATATTATGAATGTGTTTTTTTTTTTCCCTAAGGCTGCCAAACATGTGAAAGAGAGCTTTACACTGCAGGATTGTTCATTTTAATCACACAACTGGTAACCATGAGAGGCAGAAAGGGATTTTGTATCATATGCAAAAAAATCTTCCAAAGTCTGTAAATATTTGAGCAGAGCCAAACGTTCCAGCTATTCATTGCAACCTAAATGAAACTAATCATGGAGCCTGTAGCTATATTTGGAAGATGTAACAGGTCCTTGGGGGATTCAACTGACGGTAACCCCCCACCCCCCTATTGGCACATTCTAGGAAACAATGCAATGTTACAGAAGGAGGGGTTTTCATGTTTATTGCAGAGACCCTGACCAACATTACACACACAATCATTCACATCTGAGATTTGCACTCTGAGAAGAAAAAGTCACACCGTTTACAGAACACCCTACGAGATTAGTTCAATAATGAAGTATAACAATCAAATCCCAAAGCTGCAACATCGGTGCAAAAAAATAATAATAAGAGCCAAAGAAATACTTCAACAGGTTTCTATTAACCATCAGTTTTCCTAACAAACAACGCAGTGAATCCAACCTCAGTTCAAACAGCCTTGCATAAATCCTCTGTATTTACATCACCAGCGTTTTAAAAAAAACTAAAAACAATTTTTAGACAGTCCTTTTAAAAGAAGGTAAAAACAGTACATTTGATTTAGTTAACATGTTGGTTGAGTACAGAGGCGTTTGGAAGATTTTGTGCTTCTTAAATCTAGATCTAGTGCTCAGTGCTTATTAAGGAAGCTTAAACCAGTGAGTTGAATCACATCAGCTTTGCAGAGAGTAGCTTTGTCGAAACTGTGGTTGTAGTGAAACAACTTCCTGTTTTTTTTTGGAACAAACCAAGTCAGCTGGCACCCATTCCAGACACTGAATCCTTCATTACTGCTGTCTGGAGCTCCTCCTTGAAGTGGCTTTATTACATATACTCCCAGCCCCCAAAAGGAAGGAAAGCAAAAGTCATATTAGCTTGAAAAGACTGTATGACCTGAATATCTGTAACAGTGACAACGAGGTTTCCAGTAAATCCCCTTCAAGCTCAAGACTGTTTGGAAATAATAATAAAACAGTATAAATACAATTCCAAGCCTAAGATAAGCCCCATTTTATATAAAATTATAATAAATTAAAAGCTGTCCATAAAGAGAGAAAAAAGTTCTTCCAAGTGCAATATGTAATAAAAAAGTGAATATGCTGTATATGAAGAAATTTGGCCTTGGCTATGCTGCAAAAAGCACATATTTTAGTGCAATTTTATTCCATTAGTGTCAGGCAGCTGATGTTGGCAAGAAAAAGAGCAAAAGAAGTTAGCTTGATGATGGGAATATTATACTCAGTGCTGCACTAATGGCTTAAAGTCAACCATAAACCTGTACTGGTTAGCTTAATTTGAATTGAAGCAACTGCATATGTAGACTCAGCAATCACAAATTGTCAAAGACAAGTTCAGCTCCAAAGAACCCCTCATGTTCATTTCTAAAGATGTAGTTTGAATGAGATGAGGTTACAAGTAGTTTGTCCTTAGCATACAAGCGAAATGAGCCAGATGTGAAGAGAGATTTCTTCCAGGGTGTTTTGCTGAACACTATTGTGTCGCATGCTGACAGGAGCGGAACGCGTTTTTCGTAGCTAAGGCTGATGACATTCACTTTGTTACAGACGCTCTGCCCATTGGCCTCAGCAGACTCTGAGCTATACGTGATTTGCAGGTAGACTCGGTAGATGCCGTCTCTGGGTACGATTAGATTCCCATTGGAGTACTTGAATCCTCCTTGAATGCGTGCATTTCCCAATTCAGTTTCCCAAAGAAGAATGTCTCCATGTGTGTTTTGACCATTTGGAACTGAGGACAGAAAGACAAAAAAGGATTAGAAATCTACTTTCTTCTTCCAGCTAAAAATCTAACATTTTATTTAAGACCAAGAAGAGCTGAAGTAAAGACCAGACGGCGACGGGCAATCAAGAAGAGAATGTTCTGATTGGCAACAAACTGCCTTCATACAAATAGATTATCTAGCCAGAAAAATCTGTGCCAGTCATTCTGCGAGTATTTTAATTTAACACAAATGATTTGACACTAAATTCACCTTTGAATGCAAAACCCTTGAAGTGGCTGAAACAGTGGGGAAATTGGACTTGATGTTTAACTGATATGTGTATATTTTTTCTAAGTAAGTTATAGATTTTAAATTCAGGATTGAAAAAAACAGGAGCAACACCTAACTCCCTCCGGATTGATTTAGGTTTGTGTTTTTAAGCACTCTGCCTTCTATCTGCTCTAATCAGCCTCATTCAGCTCACATGTACCAACACCAACCCCTGCTGCACTACTTATCACCTTTCTGGGTGCTCATATCGCCTGTCTGCCTGTCTGTAAATGAGCATTGCCTGTTTATTGGCCATGCTGTTGGATTGTTTTTCGCTGTGTCATTCAGAGTGAAGCAGAACGTGGAAGGAAGTCCCTGCCCTAAAAGCCTCTTCACACAAGATGGGCGTTTTCTTTACGCTGACAGCGTGGGAACGTCTCTGACGTCAAAAGCAGCTTCTAGTTCTCCAACAGTTTCTTATTCACTCATCCATTACAAAACCAGGTCACTAACCTGTCATTTATCTTTGCAGAGGTATGAACGTTGATCTTAGAAACTTTGAACCAATCTGAACGTATCATCGGCTGAAGTTGACCAATGGCTGACATACAGAGGCGAGCCGCCTAATCCATAGAGTGAGACGAACTTTATTGTCATTTTGTACACACGGGGTGTATACAAAATGAAATATCGTTCAGTACAGCTCTCAAGATATTTGCATTTCTTCAAGTGCAGCAGTGATACAATGTAAACATGATGATCAAATGTAAACATAAGACTGAGATATTATTTACAATTTTTCCAACATTCAGTGTTTTTTTTTTTATTGATCCAATTTCTGTTTCTTTCTTGCTGCCATTTCACACGACAAGCATTTATTTTGTATTTCACGATGCATTAGGCGAAAACTTTCCCCCTTTTATTTCAATACAGTCTATTTAGCACTCATATATATGACAGACTTAAGCATGAAGGTATGTTGGCTAAAATATGTAGTATATGAGAAACAGAGAGATGCGAGCACGAGAAATCTTGAACTTTTTAATGCTTAAAAAATTATTATTAATGAAATATTGCAAAATATTGCTCTGTAGTGATGTTTTCTCCGTTGAGGTCTGAGGAAACCTTTCCTGGTTCTTGTGATTAAACTTAAAAGTAATGCTTTTCATTTCTTGCCCTTTTATTCTTTTATCGCGTATTACATGGTGAGGGGAAAACATGACCTGGAGC